GAGAGGTTGCAGCAGTGTGATGCAATTGATCTGCCAGGCTTCCCCAGATTTATGTTTTGACCATCATCCCCCACACCACAGGGGCTTTACTTGCCTGGCCCTGCTTGATGGCAGCACACATTTCACGGTCATGGATTACCCAGGATATAGTGTCCATTATTAAGTCCACCCCTCAGTCATGATGCATCTGTGTGATACATCTCTTCCCTGATGACCTTAGATGCCTAAGGGGCCCACTGAACCAGAAATAACTCACCCTTGTGTGGCCAGTCCAGACCCACCTGAGACACTTTAATCCTGGCAGCCCAATCCGCTGCCCATTGTTGTGATGCTCTTCGCTGGCTGGCTCTTGGATACGTGAGCATCCACAGGATGGACTTTCCCAGCCAACTTCTCTACCCAGGCATCAATGTGGCGCAGCAGTGGGCTCTCGCCAGGTAATAATTAGCATTGACTCCATCATTCACAGAAGGCTGATCAATCTCTTTATTCCATTATTATTACAAAGAAACCCATTCCTTTTATAGACAGTTATGATACACCTGGACTTAATTGGTCCTCCAATCCAAACTCCATCGCCATTGGCTAATTAAAAAACCACCCTTTGGTAAATCTCCATAACACATTCCACATGTTCACAACAACGGGTGCAGCAAGTTAAGATAAGAGTTGTTTCTCATTCTTTTCTCTAATCTTCTCACAGACTTTTCCCAGAAAGGCCTGGAAAAGTTGTCTGTTGCTCTCTGTGACCAGAGAGCTACTGCCACAGCAATGTCTTGCCACAATTCAATAACCCAGATGGATTTCCCTGTGCGCTGCCAATTGGTCTTTTTCCATTGTCCAGCTACCTCTGCAGAGCATTTGCTGTTATGCATGAGTCAGTGGCCATTTCTCTCATTCAGCGATATTCAGCAATAGCCAAAGTCAGCTGGACAGCTTTCAGCTCTGCAACCTGACTTGATTCACCTTGTCCCTCAGTAACTTCTGCAACTCGTCACATAGGACTTCACAGGGCTGCCTTGTCTTTCCCGATGTATCCCTACAATATCCTCTCCTGAGGTAAGGTCTGCAAAGGATTCATGGGGCCACTGGGCCAGTGACAATGTGGTTTTGCCCCTCATTTCCAGTCAGGATCACTTCAGTTTCCAATACAGTCAGCTGTTAGGATTCCTCTGTCATCCCAGAAACACAGATGGATTCTACCCCTACAGATATTGATGGCATCTGGGTACATCAGGTGCTGATGTCAGATAAAGCCTTGTACTCTTGTGGTCCTGCTGTATAGATCCAATGGTCCCTTTCCTCCACCTGGATGGAGCCAGGGCCCCTCTAGCTCTGATCATGGTACTTATTGCTCACTTCTTGTAAATACGACCTGGAGGTCCTTTCAAGAGGATCAGAAGTAACATCAGCCCTTCTATTCTGTCTGAGGACTTGTCCAGTGGAAACTGGAGAAGATTTATCCTTGATGAGTTTTCTGTGGTGGTGTTTTCTTCCTCTCAACTCACCTGTGAGAAACAACTGCTCACTTTGAAAATTCAAAAAGGTTTATTAAACCTTAACAAAAATACAACAAAGGACTACATAAGGAAAAATTTGCAGCACTGGGAACTGCCCCCGTGCATACCATGTGGCTGGTTCCTCTTCAAGATGGATGCTCAGTCTTTTATACCCCTGGAGGTCGCATCAGTCAGCCCTGGCCCCTCCCAAATTCTGTCAGTCAGCTCTTCTTTGCCATTTATTGGTGGAGACTGCTTTCTTGTAACTTGATTGGAGATCAGGTGTTGCCATGTTGCACCCCCTAAGCACCAAGCTCTTCCATTCCCAACTGCCCCAGGTAGGGGAGACATGTTCACACCTTCTTTTTACCTGGCCTAGACAACCCAGGCTGTCTGATGGTCACAACACAGGGTGGGGGGGAGGGAACTATGGGGAGAATAGAGGACATCTAAACTACAATAACATAACTATACATCACTAAAGCTTTTCTTAATTTTCGCATGATAGTTATCTTTTAATTGCAAGAGCCAATCATCTCATTATCCATCTATAACATCATCACCCATGCTGCTGGGGCAGAGATGGATTTTCAATCCCACTTTCTCATGTCCTCTCCATGGTCACACAGTTGAAACCACAGGTTACTGCATAGTGTGTCTCCCCTCTTCTGAGCAGGATTTTGCCTGCTCCCAATAGCAGAGACTCTGGTCCATACCGGCAGGGCATGGAACATTGCCTCTCTAGTTTGCTCAAGTCTTTCAAATGTGTCTTCAGTGTTGGACATTCTTTCCACAGACAATGCACAGGTCAGTAGGGAGAAGAAAAGATGATCTTCATGTTGCCAAAGCTGGGTGGAAGCTGTTGTCTCATGAGTCAAAGGGACAGTACCACGATGAGACTGAGAATGATTTATTGCTTAGATAACATCAGTCTCAAAGGCTATGAGATTTCTAAGACAGCAAGCAGTCGGCCAAAGTCTAAGATGGTCACAAGTTCTTTGTTGCAAGACAGTATATAACTTTCTAATCCAATGGACAGTCGCCACAGAGTATGTTTTGTTTTTCTAACCTATCCCCTTTACTTCTTTCTCCTGCAACGTGGATACTTTTGTCCAATAAGGTCTTATTACATATACACACATATGTCTCTATTAGAATATCTAAACTTTTAGCTTATTCTATACAATCACATTACTACATTATTGCACTATCAAACCCTTCATCATCTTATCTAATACAGTTTCTGACTTAAAGCATATTCTTGCTTATAACTGTAGAAGCATAAGTTTATGATTTTTCTATTCAATGTCTGTGTACCTTGCTTTCACATCAATCTAGACTTCTTCTTAGGCTGTAAATCAAACCCTCTTGAGCCTGTGAAGATTTCTATCTTTCCAATTCCCACATTGGGTAGTCACCTGAAGCACTGTTTGCTTTCCTTCTTTCATCAACATCACTGCCAGTGATGGTATACAACAATGATAGGCTTCACACAAACTTCTGCCACATCGATTGTGTACCCTGGACCTCATCTGGATCTTCCTCCTGTTGTGAGGACCCTGCTTTGTCTTCATCCCTCACTGAGCAAACTGATTTGGTCTTGGATGTCTTGTGTATAGGGACAACTGCTCCCAGCATATGTTGTGCCTGTGGTTCAGCTGCAACTGGAGTGCCCACAGTGCCCGTTGCTCTGCCTTCCTCCTCCTCCCCCTGAGGGTACTGTCTAGTGATGAACAGTAAATGGTAGCCAGGGCCCAGCACACTGCATAACTTTGTGCCTCTCTGGAGTCACTACAGCATTTGTCTTTCATAAATTTTATCACTTTACCATGGTCCTGTAGTTACCAGGGGTGAACTTCCAAACCACTAGAGCAGAGGAATCCTCCAAACACTGGCCCTTGTCCTCCCATATTTCATACCACTCCTGACTATTGTCCCTCAGGGAAGATCTCTGAATCGTCTTTATGAAAATGTCTTTTGTAATTTTAAACATGGTATAGACCACACTGAGGAGGCCTGGCAGACACAGCAACAAGAACAGGCTGGGAACTATTATTAATGGACTCCACTCTAGGCAAGGGCAGGAGAGAAGCACTGAATACATATCCCAAATGACCCTCACTGCCCTTGATGTTACCATGTCATAAACTGATATCCCAGAGTACAGCAACAAAGCAATCCTGATCCCTCTCCCTGCTCTGAAAAAAAACATAGTGCAATACATACAGGGCATACAGGGTTAGGTACCACACCCACATGAACAGACCAAGCAACATTGTGACCCCTGGCTCTGCACATAATACAACAAAGGCTTAGATCACATTTGTTTTCAAACAGCTCTAGACAGATCTGTTGTTATCTCGACCCTTTGTGCCTCACATTGGGCAGCAATTAAGGCTGTCGGCTGTCATGTTTTAAGAACAGTATTCCATACTTTAATGCTTATACTGAAACCACACTGGCTCTTGCTTCCCTGACTCCTCCAGCTGGAAGCGCAAAAGGCAAAGGTCACAGTTTAACACAAAAACAATTTACTGGAAACAGCAATGAAATAAGAAAACAGTGACAGAAACAATATTAATGACAACAGCTCATTAATAGACCATAATAAGACAAAGAATTTACACAGAGAGTCTGTAACAATGCCGACTGTTTCTCCTCAAAGAAGGAACCCCTTCCTCTCAGATGCGAGGGAAAGAGTCCTTTTCCCTTACCCCTGGCAAATAAGATGGTATTGAAAAACCTCCTAGAAATGCCCACAGCAACACCCCTTAGCTACTGCAAAAAAAAAAAAAAAAAAAACAAAACCAACTCTATTTTAGCAACTCTGTCCTGGCTGAAACTAGAATGGCCATGCCGGTGGGGAGATTTCAAAGGGGTGTGGGAAGATGGATGCAAACAAGAGGAATGAGAAGCTCTGAAAGCAGAAATACCTCATGGGGAGTGACATGAGAATGGGGCTATAAGCTTGTTCGGGGAAGGTTCAAGGGTAAACTCCACATCATAGCAGTGCTGGTTTGGCAACTCCTTTGTCTCTGCTGCATTGAAGAGGCTGAAACAGGGAGAAAAACTGCCCTAAAGGGGAGCAGGGAGGGTGATAAGCTTTGCCTCATCCCAGCCCAGCCTGGGAGTGACTCCTGGCACAGGGGCTGCTGCAAGAAGCTCCCCTTCCCTCCTCTTCCCCTCCCCTCCTCTCTCTCCTGTCCTGAGGACACAGGGGGTGTGAAGATCCCAGGGTGCCACCTGCACAACTCCTGGCTGGCAGCAGATGTTACCCCAAGTTGTTACAGAGCCTGCAGAGCTGCAGGATGCCTCAGCCCGAGTGCCTGGGGCTGCTGATACTGGGGTGTCTAGGTGCCGCATCGGGGGTGCTGATCTCTGTGTCCGTTCTGTCCCAGCCCACGTCGCCAGAGCAGATCCTAGAGATATTGGCCAAGGGCAATAGAAACCAGCGCAGCATCACACCAAGACCAACGCCGCCTCCTCCCACTCCCATGCCATCCTCCAGGTGAGTGCTGCTGGCTGTGGTATTGCTCCAATCAGTGCTGGAAATGAAGCTAGGAAGCTGCTGAGATAACATCCCAGGGCTGTCCCACTCAGCACCGAGTTGGGAATTACATGCCCCAGGACTCTGACTGTCAAAGTGCTCCCCAGTTTCTTGATGCAGACTTGCCAAGTACATTTAAATTCCAGCCATGTACTTTCCTGAATTTGCAGGGCTGTTACATTTGCTGGGGTAGATGGAGGCTCTGGCTATCACTTCAGCCTGTTTCTAGTGCCTCATCCATAGATAGCTACTTGTAGGGGAGCAAATCAGGTGTCTTTTCCAGAGCCTTGGAAACCCAACCAGCTGTACCATCCTCCACCACTAAACATGGGAATTGCTGATTCTTTTCCATGACTCTGTCCCTTCCTTCCAGATCTTTTCCCTGACTTTGCTCCTTGTGTCATGTCCAGCTGTTTGACTCATCCTCACAGCATGCCAGGTTCCTCTCCTACTCCTGCCCCATCTTCCAGTGTGATCCATTGACCCATTCCATGGGAAACACAGAGCCCTGGTCCCGCTGGTGCTAGTTGCTCCAACCAGCCTCCCCAGGGGTGTGTGTAGCCATGGCTTCAGCCATCTTTGTCCTCACAGATCCTGGTGAAGCAGTGGGACGACCCCACTCTTGGCTTTGCTGGGAATCTGTGTGTGGCCAAGGTGAGCCTGACTGACACGGCGGACTTGGGGTGAGCCTAGGTCACCAAGGACTGCAGAGAGGGGCTGTGGGAGGGACCAGCATCAATTGCTCACTGCTGGCCCTTGACAGCATCATGTGCCCACTGGCCAGAGGTAAGGGAATGCTGTTCCCGGCCTGGCACTGCTGAGCTCTGGCTGTCTGGGGTCGGGCCTGGGAGGCACCTCCCCGAGCATCCCAGGGCTGATAAGCTGAGCAGAGCTTCGGTCTCTCGGGACAGAGCAGGCAGAGCCACATCCAGCTCTTGAAGAGCAGCTGATGCTCTTGCAAAAGGGCTTCCCTGGGCAGCACAACCCAATGATCGCAGCCCAAACACCTGTAGCATGCTCTGGTTTGCCAGCCAAGCCAGGTACATCCTGCTGCTGGTGAGGATCAGGTGGGAGCGATGCAGGGACCTGCCTGGGGCTTGGGAGCTGATGAGTTGGGGGTCAGGACAGTGTGTGGTGGGATGGATTGGTGGGTGCCTCCTGTAGGCCGCTAGAATTTCCCAGCCATGGGGGTGTCACTGGGGGCAGAAGCAGCTGCAGCAGTGTGTGCCCAGGATGACCCAGCAGCAGATTGAGCTGCAGCAGCCTGTGCCCAGGATGACCCAGATGTGCAAGAGCTGCAGCTCCCATGTGCTGGGAAAAGGAACTGAATGATGAAGCATTTGCTGCATCTGAACATTGAGGTCCATCTTGCTTCCCTCTTTTCCTCCTCCACCTTCTCCTTTTCCTCATTACTGTCATCCCAACTGCACATTTCTCAGAGGATAACTGTCGGAACTCAGTACGTCCCTCCGGGTGTCCCGAGTTGCTGAGGACCCCACCGGGGGGCTCGGAGACCCTGGCACGCAGCCCAGAACACCTGGGGATTTGATTATGACCCCTGGAGCAAGTTACCAGCTTTGTATGAAAACCTGAAAGTCACAGAGGTTTGAATAGTATAATAATAATAGTATCACAGGGTGAAAATGTAGATTTTAGGATTTTTGGTATGGGGGTTATGGGGACAAGATGGACGAACTTGGGCGTGTCTAGCCTTTCTTCTTGTTCTCCATTTTCTGCTGTGATGCTGGCACTTTGGGATTGGTTTAGAGTGCACTGTCTAACATAGGTGATAGGTATTGGGAATTAAGTGTAAATATCTTATACGTAGTTCGTAGTATAGAAAGACAACACCGCCTCAGGGGCAGTCAGAGTGCCTTTGGCTGCCTTGCTGAGCAGACCTTGGCTGGGCAGAAAGAAAATTTTATAGATAAGAATTAATAAACAACTTGAAGACCAAAAACTGAAGAGTTCAGACTTGTTCTTCAGCCGTGCGGGCCGAAACAGAGACATCCTGTATATCTTGGGGCAGCAATTAACAACCATCTGTCCGAGAGATAACCAGGGATTTTGAGACAAAAGCACATGTTTTTGATTGGGAATGTCCCTGGGGATCCCCATTACACCAGGGTAAGTTGCTCTAGAGTAGCTTCTCTCTCTCCCAGCAACCTTTCTCCTCCTCCCCTGCCTCCTCCTCCTCCTCCTCCTCTTCCTCTTCCTCCTTCTTGTTACCTTCATCCCCACTGTGCAGAACATATTCCCAAGAGAAAAGCTGGTGATTCTGGGGCAGAAAACTGCTTTTCTGAGGGGAAACCTCCACAGCGGTCCCAGTTCTGTCAGGGCAGCCTCCCTCCCTGTCCTCCATCTTCCTCTCCTCATTCTCCTCTTCCTCCTTGCTGCCATCAGCCCCACTCCACAGGACACCTTCCCCAGATAAAAAGCAGTGATTCTGGGGCAGAAGGTTTCTTTCCTGAGGGAGAACTTCCCCGGGGGTCCCAGATGTGCCAGGGCCTTCCTCCCTGCCCCCCCTCTCCTCCTCCTCTTCCCCCCCAGTCAGGGCACACCTGAGCTTTGCCCAGAAGAGGGGCTGTGCAGGGGGCTCAGAGGGCCAGCGCAGGTGTGTGCGCCGCAGCAGCACACGTCGCATGCGATGGAAGGCCGAGAGCTCGGCCTCGGGGATGTCCTCAAGGAAGATGAGGACAAGGACATCGCGCAGCTCATCGAAGAGGCGATAGCTGGCCATCTGGATCTCCAGCGAGCACCACTCGCTGCGCAGGTACCCACGGCTCACCACACACACCGTGTGCCGGCTGTTGTACACAGCGTCCACGATGTTGTCCACTATGGCGCGGCCGGGGCGAAAGTCACGGTGGTGCAGGCAGAGCCGCAGGGCTCCACGCTCCAGCTCAGGCACCAACTCCTCCAGCACCCACCGCTCATCCCCAGAGTTGTAGGACACGAAGGTGTCATAGGTGTAGCGCCGCTGCTCCCGCCGCCAGTGCCCACGTGCCCAGGCACGCAGCAGGAACAGCTGGTAGCGCAACCGCCAGTACCCACGGTGGTGCAGCAGCGGCAGCACCAGCAGCAGCAGCACAGCCGGTGCTGTCCCTGCAAACAGGTACCGCCCCATGTCCAGGTAGCACACACACGTGTCAAAGCAGTGCAGGTACGCGGAGGCCCCACCCATCTCACCACACGTGTAGTTATACAGATAGACTACCTGCACAGGCCCACGTGCCAGCCAGGCAGGCAGCCAGGCATTGGCACAGCTGCAACTTAGTGGGCACTTGCGCAGGTCCAGATAGCGCAGGGCGGGGAGGCGGGTGGCCAGAGTCACATCCAATGTACGCAGCCCATTCTTGGCCAGGCGCAGCTCCTTCAGTCGTGTCAGATTTCCGAAGACCTCAGGGCCAAGGCTGCGCAGTCCTGCGCTCTCCAGGTTCAGGCTGCGCAGTTGGCTCAGGTTCTTGAAGATGCCGGCAGGCAGGTGGCCCATCCCGCCACTGCTGTCAGCCAGTGTCAGGTACTGCAGCTGTGCCAGGTCATCGAAGGCATCAGCAGGGATGGCCGAGAGCGAGTTCTGTGACAGGTAGAGTGAGCGCAAGGCACTGAGGCCCTGGAAGAAGCGTTGTGGGACCACACGCATCCCATATGGCTGCTGCGCCTGCAGCTTCAGGTCATAGAGGTTATGTAGGTAGCGGAAAGGTGGCAGCTGCCGCAGGTGTCGGCTCAGGTAGCGCAGCGCATTGGCACGCAAGTCCAGCACGCCCAGCGTCACCTGCACCGGCTGGAATGCGGCCACCCTCACCTCCAGCAGCCGGTTGCGGTCCAGGTAAAGCCGGCAAAGCCGCGGGAGGCCCTGAAATGCCTTGGCTGCCAAGTGCCGCAAGTTGTTCCCGCCCAGGTCAAGGGTCTGCAGGCGGTCAAGCCCCTTGAAGGCGCCAGGGAAGAGCACGGCCACACGGTTGTTGCGCAGGTTGAGGTCTTCCAACTGGTGCAGGTCAGCAAAGGAGCCGGGCAGGAGGTCAGTGAGCAGGTTGTTGTCAAGGCGCAGGTGCCTCAGGTTGCGGAGTCCACGCAGCGCTGCGCGGTGCAGCCGTGCCAGCCCGTTCACATCCAGCCGCAGCTGCCGCAGTGCGGGTGCATTGTCAAAAGCACCCGCACCGGCCACTAAGATGCGGTTGAAGCGCAGGGACACATTGTGCAGCTGCTTCAGAACCGGGGTCCCTTTGCACGATGGCAGTCGCTGCAGCAAGTTGTGCTCAGCCACCAGCTCACGCAGTGCTGCATGCTGCTTCGGGTTCAGCAGCTGCCCTATGCAGCCCAAATGCCGCAGCCGGTTGCCAGACACATCCAGGGCACCCAGCAGCGGACACTCGGCCAGAGCCCTTCTGGGCATTGATGTAAGGTTCATGTGCTGCAGCTGCAGCCTATGCAGCCTCTGTCCTCTCAGCTGCTTGCACAGGTATTCCAGGCCGCTTGTGTTCACCTGTAGCCCTGACACGTCCACCTGACGCGGGGAGATTCCAGCCACGCGCAGCAGCTGTACTACGTCCAGCGGGTTCCCAGCCAGATACAGGTGTGTCAGGTTGTTCAGGCACAGGTGAGAGAGCAGTGCAGGGTCTGAGATGTTGTTGTAGGACAGGTCGAGCACACGCAGCCCTGGAGGTATCACCGCAGAGGTGGCCCCTGAAAGAGCTCCCAGGGAGTTGTTGCAGAGGTACAGGACCCTCAGTGTGGGCGGCAGCCCCGGGCCCAGTGTTGACAGCATGTTGCCACACAGGTCGAGCAGGTCTAGGTGTGTCAGATTCCCCACAGCCATGGCCACAGTCTCCAGTGCACTGAGCCGGCCACCCCGCAGCCAGAGTGTGCTGAGTGCAGCCAGAGCCTGGAAAGCCCTGGGGGCCACCTTCTGTAGCGGATTGTGGTCCAGCCGCAGTGTGCTCAGGTTGCCCAGCCCGGTGAACACACCTGTGGCCAGCACTGAGATGTTGTTGTGGGCCAGGTTTAGGTGAGCCAGTGCTGACAGCCCCGAGAAAGCCCCTGGGGCCAGGAGTTCCAGCTGGTTGTGGGTCAGATCAAGGATGTAGAGCCGCGGCAGGTGGGCAAAGGCACTGGGGGGCACCTGGCGCAAGATGTTGACAGAGAGGTTGAGGGATGTGGCAGTGGAGGGGAGGTCGTCCACTGCAGCCCCCACAGTGCTCAGGAAGCGCTGGATGCAGCGGAACAGCCCAGGGTCCCATGGTGCCTGGATGCAGTTGTGGAAGCCATAGGGAAAGACCCTTGCAGGCACCATCACCAGTGTCACCAGTGTCACCAGCAGTGGAGTGCACATCCTGATTCACCCTGGGGAGATCCTGGATGCAGTAGGAGAGAGAGAGAGTAGGATGAGGCTTGGTACCATAGAGACCCCCTTCGAGGCCCAGGGACTACACCTTGGGCTCAGGGATCCCCACCACCCTAGGGATCCCCCTTGCAACCCAGGGACCTCACCACCATCCCAAAGACCCTACTCAGGGCCCAGAGAACCCTCATCCACACCTCACCAGAATACCAGGATCCCCACTCTGCGTGCAAGGACTCCTTGTCCACACCCCAGGGCCTCACACACACACTCCAGGGATTCCTTTCAGGGCCCAGAGACCCCTTCCATCCACAGCCCAGGCAGACCCCCCCCCAGGGACCCCCATCACGGCCCAGGGGCCTCCCCCAGGACCAAAGAACCTCCGCACAACCCAAGGACCCCTTGCCCCCCAGTCCCGAGGGATTTTGGGGACCCCCTGCTCCCCATCAAGTTCCCACCGTGCCACTGCCTCTGCTTTGGGTGATTTTGGGGTTAGAAACAGGAAGTTTGGGGTATCACTTTTTGTCACCACTGCCCCACCCACCTCCCTGTGACGCGGGTGGGGGAGGCCCCTGCCTGGACGGGTTTAAGGGTCCCCGGGGGGCTGGCAGGGGTACCAGGCCACACAGCTGGGTCGCCCCCCTGGTGCAGACTCCCAGAGTCTGGGGGGAATCCCTGGGACACCCAAGCCTCTTCCCCTCCCTCTCCCCCACCCCCACCCCGTGCCGTCCCCCTGCTGCCACATGCTGCTCTTTGTTCCTCTTCCCCTTCCTCAGACTGAACCACCTGGTTTTGGTTCCTTCGGGGGAAATACTGGGCTGTACTGGGTTATGCTCTCTTATACTGGGCTGTACTGGACTATATTGGTCTATACTGAGCTGTGATGGGTTGTGCTGAGTTACACTGGAGTGTATGGGGTGCTGCTGGGCCGTACGGCGCCGTACTGGCTTGTACTGCCCAGTACCACCGGGCACAGACGCGCTGTCCAGGTGCTGCGTAGGGGGCGTGGCCCGACTTGGGGGCGTGGCCTGACTTGGGGGCGCGGTCCGTGCAGCATCGGGGCGGGCCCTGTCGGGAGTGTGGGGGGCCTGGAGAGTGGGGGTCCATCAGGATGAGGGGGCATATTTGGGTCTGGGGGATCATAAGCCGGCTCGGGGGATTTGGGGGCTGCAGGGACTGGGGTGCACGGGGGAATTATGGGGGTGTGCGGGGGGGCTGCAGGGACTGTGCTGTGCAGCGGCCGCAGCTGGTGATGCGTAGCCGTCAGCAAATGGGGGGCGAGTACCCCCCATCTTCCCCCCAGGGCGATGGGCTGGAGCTGGAGTACGAGATGGTGCCGACCAAAGGGGATTCCTTCCGGACGCGGCACCTCTCGGCCGATGAGTTCCGGGCTGCCGCGGCCGGGGGAAAGACATTGCGAGGAGGACTGGCGTGCATCGAGATCGGGGGGTATATTGGGGGTTACGGGGGTTCGAGGAGGCTTATTGGGGTCTAGGGGGTCTGGAGGGGCTGAAGGGATTGGTGTATATCAGGGTCTGCGGCTGTATAGGGAGTTATGGTGGTCTGAGGGGCTGCAGGGATTGGGGATGGGGAAGTATATGAGGATCTGGAGGATTGTTTAGGGGTTTGAGGGGTTGGAAGGATTGGAGTGCATCAGTATGGGGAATATATTGGAGGTTATTGAGATCTGAGGAAGCTGAAGGGGTTGGGGTACAAAGGGGAATGATGCTGGGGCTGCAATGCAGGGGGCGCTGTGGATAGTCTGGTGGGTTTTGGGGGGCTTCATGGGGTGAACCCCTTCTCACCCCTCCCCCCACCTTCCCCAGGCGTCCTGGAAACAGACATCACCTTCCTCCTCGTCTTCATCGTCACCCTCATGTTATTCATCAGTGAGCAGCTGGGGGGAAATCTGAGCTTCAAGGGGGCCTGGGGGAGGCAGTGTTTTGACAGATCTGGTGCTCACCCCCCATAGTCCCCCCAGACCTGGTCTAGGGATGGCAGCTGCTCCACACCACCTGCAAGATGCTCATAGTGGCTGCCAGCATGGAGTGTGAAGGGGGAACAAGTGGAGCTATGGGCAGGTCTGTGGGAGCCAGCAGCAGCTGTGGGGACTGGAGAGCATTGGGGCCTGGGGAAGTTATATTGGGATTTGGGGGATCTTCAGAAACTGGGAGGTGTCGAGGTCCAAGGGGCATATTGAGATTTGAAAGGGCTGGGGCTTCTGGGTGCATTTGGGAGAGCTTTCACAGCAAAGTATAGGGGATATGGGGGAGCACAAGGGCACTTTGAAGTCATGGGAGGTAATGAGGGGCTTGGGGGAGTATAGGAGGTGTGGGGGGTGTGATGAAGGGGGGTACCCAGCCCTCCCCATATCCCCATGCCAACTGCTCCCCCCACCCTATCAGCTTCCTCATTTTCCTCATGTTCATCCTGCTGGGCAAGTGCTTTTTCCATCACAGGTACTACGGAGGGTATGGGGAGGTGGCTGGGGGGCACAGGGGCAGCTGTGGGTCACTATGGGACAGTCAGGGGTCCCTATAGAGCATTTGAGGGGAGAGGTGTGGAGTAGTTTTGAGGTTCTCTATGGGGCACCCACAGGGTTGGTGCTTTCAGGGGCCACATCAGACTGGGGAGCTCCATCCAGCTCTCCATGTACATGACCCTGTACAGCATCGCCCCCTACAAGGCCCAGGTGAGACTCCTACGCCCACTTGTATTTGTGCAGTTTAGGGAGGGTTTGTGGATATTTGAAGGGCTATTTTGGGATGCAGGGGCAGTTCTTTGACCAACATAAGGTGCTTTATTATTGTGAGGTTCAGGTGAGACCCATGTGACTAGCTGTATTTGGGGAATATAGGAGGCATTTGGAGGGGTATGGGGTATTTGGATGGTGTTTGGCTTTGTGGGGTTTATCTTTGGGGGGAGAGGCAGTTTTTTGACCCTGGTCGAGTGATGTACCCCTACAAGTCACCTGCTGGGCACAGGCTCATTATGCTACACTTCAGGGCCTTCAGCTGGTTGTGCAATGCCATTGCCATCACTGTCACCATTGTCCTTGAGTACCGCTACTTCTACCTGTCCTTGCTGAGAGCTTATGCCCTCTGGTGAGTCCTGGGGGCTACCTGGAGGACACCTGAGGTCTCTCACACAAGGGTCTCTCAAGGAGGTGTCATGAGGGTGTCACAGGGATGTCACAAGGGTCACTCTCATAGAAGTCTCAAAGTGGTCTCACAGGCAGAAAACTCTTCAAGGAAAAATGCCACTCAGTTGCCACTGGAGAAGTCCTCAGGCAGAATTGAAGGGCTGATGTTACTTCTGACCCTCTGAAACGGATCTCCAGGTCATATTTACAAGAAGTGAGCAACAAGTACCATGATCAGAGCTAGAGGGGTTCTGGCTCCAGCCAGGTGTGGGAAAAGGACAGTGGGGTCAGTTGGACTGTGTAGATCCATGGCCTGGCACAGCAGAGCTACAGGAGCACAAGGCTTTAGCTGACATGGGTGCACAATGCACCCTGATGCCATCATGCAGGGGCAGAATCCATCTCTGTTTCTGGGATGACAGGGGGATCTCAACAGGGACTATGCTGGAAGCTGAAGTGCTCCTGACTGGGCACGAGTGACAGAAAAACGCCATTGTTGCTGGCCTAGAGGCTCCATGTATCCTTGGCACAGATCACCTCAGGAGAGGCATTTCAAAGACCCAAAAGGACGCCACTGAGCTTTGGGAGAGCTGCTGGGGAGACAGAAGAAATTCAGACAGCTGAATCCCTTGCTTGGTCTTTCAGAGGACCCTTCGGCTGTGGGACTGCTGAGGGATGAAGAACAGCAGGTACTGATGGCCAGCACAACAGTGTCCCATTGGCAACATGGCACCAACTGGGACTTCAGGACCCCATCCATGAGCTGATCCGTGCACTGGAGAGCTGGGCGTGCTCAGCAAGACTCGCTCACCCCCCAGTAGCCCCACATGGCCCCTGCCTGAGTCCTGTGGAGAGTGGACACTGACAGTGGACTGCCATGGCCCGAATGAATGAAGTCATACCCTGACTGAGTGCTGCCATGCTGGACATGTTGGAACTTCAGTATGAGCTGGAGTCCAAGGCAGAAAAAGGGTGCCACAGCAGAGGAAGCTTTTGAGAAGGGGAGAAGATAATCCAGATCCTCCTGATGGCTTGTTTTGCCATAAAACAGAGTAAAGCCAAGGGACCTTGAAATTCAGTTTTTAAAAGTAAAACAGCAATATGGACATTGTCAGATTCCAGTGGATGTGGTCAACAAAATAGCAGCAACATGCTTTTGAACAAATTAAAGAGGTGATTGTTCCTATAGTAGCCGTTGGACCATCAGGACATGACAAGGTGTGGAAAACATGCTCCACACTGCAGCCAGGGAGAATGGTCTACCCTGGAGCCTCTGGCAGAAGGAACCTGGGGAAGTTTGAGGACCACCCTATGGTTCCTGAGTCTGGGATACAAAGGATCTGAAGCCAGCTATACCCTCACACCACACTGCAGGTACTGGCAGCTTATGAGGAGGTTCCATCTGTGACAGAAGTGATTGGCACCAAAGCACAGCTTCCACTGGCACCCGGCTGCCAGTGTTGGGCTGGGTGTTCCAAGGGAAAGGGATCTTGGAAGTCATTACGAACTGGACCTGAGGCAAAATTTTCAAATTATCATCAGAAGGGGAAGAGGCGAAGGTGGCACATGCTAAGGACACCCTGACTACCAGAAAATGAAAAGCATCACTCTCTCTTTACTGATGGTTCCTGCCATATTAGGCAGGAATAATGCATCAAAATGCATGTAGGGATGCATCAAAAAGGGAAAGCTGCTCTATGGAGTCCTACATGACAACTTGTGGAAGTCACTGAAGGACAAGGCGGATCCAGTCACGTTACAGAGCATAAAGCTTAAGGCCATCCAGCTGGCTTTGGATATGGCTGAATGAGAGAAGTGGCCAACACTCTGCCTCTGCACTGACTCATGG